CGTGGCCCCGCGCACGTCCCCGCGCACGTCCCCGCGCCCGGGGCCGCCGGTTCGAGTCCCGCTGGCGGCGCGAGGCGGGGCCGCCGAGGCGCGTCCCGGAGGTCCCTGCCGCCCTCACCCAGCTTGGCCCGTGTCCCGGCGGTCACAGGTCGCGCTGGAGCCGCCGTGGGTGTTTGGGACGTTGCTGGACCGGCTGCATTCGGTGCCATCCTCATGGCTCATAGAGCAGGAGTGAGGTGACCCAGCCGCGGACGTTCGGAAGATGTGCCTTCAAAGCCAGGCCTAGGAGCTGGCCTTGCGAGAGTCGGGTTTCATTACTTAGGTGTGTGTATAAGGACGTGTCCTTTATCAAGCTAAAGATAACCCTCATCAGGTCCCAGGGGGAAGGAAGGGCCAAAAAGCATCGTGGAAAAAAAATCCTTTTATTTTCCAAATACTATCTCTTCCAAACTTTACAGACATGGGAAGTCACAGCACGAAGAGGAAGCCCTGGGGAGCCCTCAGGAGGTTCCCTGTGGCTCCCGAAACAATGTGCACACACAGCGTGTTCAGGCCTCTGCGCATAAGGTGACATGTTGCCTCTCGCCTCAAAATCCATGTTTCTGCATGAATTTTCTCTCATAAAATTGATTTTGGGGAGATGTGGCCAGGTCAAGAAGCTCTTTGTGTTTTTATGCCTCAAGAAAGCTCCTTCATTCCAAGTATTGCCCGTTGGATCATTAGGAATAAACCAGTTTGCAAATAGGAGAATAACTCTGATTTCTGAACATCTCTGCAGTACAGGGAAGATTGCATAAACTCTCAGATAAAAAAAAAAAAAAAAGACAATTGATAAAATGATTTAATATTTTCAGCTACCCCATTTTGAAGGCGGAATTAGAACAAGGGCAGCCAGATTTGGAAGGAGCACAAACATATCAGCGTTCTTGGCTGTGATTTAAAGGCTGCCTCGTGGCACGGTCAGACACAGCCGGGACTGGGGGCCTTGGGAGATGCCCGGGATGCAGAGACAAGGAGGAGAAATCCCAGCACGTGGAGAAATTCCAGTTATGTCACCAGCGAGTGCAACCCARAGTCGGCACGGATGGTTCTTCGCATAGAGCTTGCTGAGAGAGGCTCCTTGTGAAATGAGGTAAAACCAGGTCTGTGCTTTGAAGGATTGGGTTAGTTGATTTAATCRAGTTTGGCAGCAAAAGTGAGTGGGCAACTTTATAAGGGGAGTTTAGTATTGCCTTTCTTGCAGCAGCTCTAGCAACGAAGAATTCACKCTGTGTGCACGTGTGTGTCAGTGCACATACCGCTCGCCTTCATATATATGTGGCTGTATGACTGTATTTAGGTGTATATAGGCTAATTTCTTACAATACTTTACTGTTTGGGTACTGTGAAGGGCAAGACGTAATGTSAAATTGGTTAACAACATGGGCACGTGCCAGAGCTCAATTTACGGGCTGAATTCCGAGATTCCCTGGGGAGAGTGGCTTGCACCAGTTGAAAGAGGCCTCTGTTATCTGTGCTYCATTCTTAGTATTGCATTAAAAGCAGGAAATCACAAATGGACAAGCTTGAAATGTGCTGCTTTGTGGGGACACCTGATGTGCTATGTGGTATGGAGAGCCCCTCTCGTGACATGGAAACAGCTTAGAGTCCTGATGAGCTTTATTAAAGTATCATTAGGATCTTTCCAGGTAGCTCTTTTAAATGAACTCGCTAGAAGGATCCTTTACAATATCTCTAAACCACAAGGGATGTGCGTAGATTATAGAGCCAGGAGGGGCCGTTGTGATCGTCTAGTTTGAACCTCGGTATAATCCAAGCCATGGCAGTTCCCAGAATTAATTCACATTTGAGCAAGAGTCCAGTCCAACAATCTTTACTTCCAGTTCAGCCATCCACTTGCCCTTCATACACAGCAAGTCTCTTCGGGGTTAGAATTCAATGCTTTCTTGACCCTTTGGTGAAGTAGTCTGGAAAGAAAAAAAAAAAAGCAATTAAATATAAACGTATAATTTATTTTAGTCAAGTAGCAATGATCAGTAAGCACAGGCTGGGGGTTTGCTAGCTATGCAGCAGTTCTGCTTAAAATTAGGTAAAGATTCTCATGGATCACAGCCTGAGGAGTCTCAGTGATGCTGATATGACAAAATCAAGCACCTTATTGCGTTTTATAAGCAGAGCATTCCTTGGAAAGGTTTAGACTCCTGGTACCATRTCAGCCTATCAGTTAGCACTCTCCTTAGCCTACTGTAAATACAAGGTAATGCAATGTATATCTGAAAACTCTTTTATTAGGATCCAGTCTTTAGGTATAACCATGCCATCAATGTTAGAGTCCTCACTACTAAGGTGAATGGACTTGGATTTGCTGCTTGTATGTCTCGTGTACAGTCACCATGATCAGGTGGAAAATAGTCCTTGGTTAAACTACAGTAAGTTGAGTCGAAGATCTAAATCTCAGCGAACCTGAAATAGTTTTTCCTTGGAGCTCAGCACTGGTAAGTCTTTAGTTGGGTTAGGGTGTCAATTTTAGTTACTCCACTTTAAGAAAGATGTGGAACAACAAGGAAAAGTCCAGAGGAGAGGAACGTGAATGATTATTACCTGTGAGGGTATATTGAAAGAACRGGGTCTGTTTAGTCTAGAAAGGAGAAGAGCAGACATTATAATCGTAGTCAAACACACTGAAAATGCTGCAAAGGGGAGGATAGTGGCTTGTTATCCTGCTRTCTGGAACCAGACAAGAAATAATGTGCTTGCATTGCAACAAGAGAGATTTATGTTAGGGAAAACTGCGCTGGAGCACATTGAGGTTGGAATAGCACCTTTTGGGACAATGTTGGATCTATCTGCTCCAGCACAGGGTGGCCTAGATGACTTCTTGGGGTCTCTTTCAGCTCTATTTTAGGAAACCAAAGACAGGAGAAAACAAAACAAAGCAAAAGCTGTACTTGGCTCCTTTCCGCTCTCTGGTTGTATCTAAACTTTAATTTTCTGGGTGTTCACAATGTGGAGATTATGGAGCAAGTCCTGCTGTTTCTGTTCCAGAAGTGAGAAATGCAYAGCATGGTCCTGGCCGCTCCAGGGTAGTGGCACATGGATGAATCAGGTCCTTACTTGTTGCTTGGACCTCCCCAGTGTTCCAAATATCCCGTGGGCTTTTGCCCAAGTGCTTTAACCAGAAGCTGAGCTTCATTTGGTAAGAGCAGAGAAAAGTAACCTGAAGGGACTTCTGGATTTATGAGCTAGGCACCCGGCAAGCTTGTACAATTGCCAGAAAGCTGAGAAGTGGCCTCCTTCTGTCCATAGAAGATGATGAGCTGTAGAAAGATGGAGATGCTTTGAAGCAGACTTTGGAGCAATGTCACTGAAGGGGATGAACTTCTGCAAGTGGTCCCCAAAGATGAACAGAGGACCTCTGTCCTCAGTTTTATGCTGAGGAATAAAGCTGTTTTCTGGGTCAATCTRGGGTAGCAAGGAGTCACTGCTGGTGTGGGGGTCCCACCAGCTGCTGGTGGACTCAGGTATCTACATTCAGAAAGGCTGCTGGAGAACTGAGAAGCTCTTGGGAAGTTCAGCTCATTCACTAGGTATTTTATACTTAGGTCTAGCTCTAGGACTCCAATAAGAAGGACTAAATCAGGCTTTTGTGAAATAACTTTTTCTTTGCATTTACAGCATTGTGACTTAAAATGAACCGTTCTTTAGCTGGAGACTGCARAATACCCATGAATGCCAAGGCACATGGTGGCTGCCAGCTGCTTTAAGTCCTTTTGCTTTTGCACGCCAGGCATGTGGGCAAGGCACTTAAACACCAGGAGGCTGGAGAGGGACTGAACTGTGACTCGGAAATCAGGGAAAAGGAACAACAGCTGTTGCAGATTTCTAATCAGCAGTGCAGAGGATGGACTAGTCAGTCCAGCCTCTAGCTCTCTATCTATACTTGCTTCTCTAGCAGCAGTGGCCCAAGAAACAGTCAAGTCTGACGCAAGAAAAAGTTTAATTTTCTCTTTCCAACTGACATTGAAGAGAWGATGATGTTTAAAGGCACTAGGAAAGACCCCATAGGAGGAGAAGATGGGGGTGGATCTTTCTCTGTCCTCCACTATGGATTTCTGTTTCAAGTCTTTACTTTTTTTACAGCATTAATGTGCGCTCTGCTGCCTGGTTTCATAGTGCTGTCTCACTCCTGTGGTGCTTGTGCGTGTTGTGTTGTGGGCAGTCCGGCTGGAAGAGCTGCTCTTTCTCCTCAGTCACAGAATTACCAAGTTCGCAGTCCTGCGCATCCAGCTCACGACGGGAGAGATGCTCCACGATGCCAGCGCCCAGAGAGTCCCCCAGGACATTGGTGGTTGTTCTGAGGCGGTCCCTGAAAAATCAGAGRAGAAAAATGAAATACAGCTTCCTAGGGTCAGCTAAAGGGAATAAAGAGCATGTCAAGAAACACCTGTAAGGAAACTTCACTTCTCATATTTCTGCAATATTTGGCACTTCAACATTGACAAGCAAATAGCTGATGAGCTGAACACTTCAGGTTGCACAAGCAAACAGGGCTTACATAGCTGGAGGCCTTTTAGTTATGGGTCTTGGAATGATTCCCAGGGCTTTCCTTGGTTGTTAGGCCTGAGCTCTGCAGCACAGCCTGCCCCTAAAGGTCTGGAGACAGTTTCTGCATGCCCTTCAAAAGTGAGCTAAATATATTCTGCTTGGTGACCAAGCTGATCTGCAGGTGACCTCTGGTGCCTCAGGTGTGTGGGGAAGCTGCCACCACGAGCAGGGAGGGCTACTGTGCAGAGGTGCCATGGATGCAGGGGTGTTCCAAGGTGAGTGATCCAGGGTACTGAGCCTGCTCGTAGCAGAGACGCTGGCTGTGCAGACAGACCCTGCAAGCGCTGCGGGGAGCACGGAGCAGAACATGCTGCTGAGCAGGAAACTCACAGAAACCAGTCCACAGCGATGATGAGCGTAATGTCCTCAGTAGGCAGCCCCACGGAGGTCAGCACGATGACCATAGTCACCAGTCCGGCCTGGGGAATGCCCGCAGCGCCGATGCTCGCTGCCGTGGCGGTGATGCTGGGGGCAAGAGGAAAGCACAGCCATCAGTAAAGGGATGAGAAAGAAAGAGCAACTGTACATTTAATTAGCGTCCAGCCTCTCCCCACAGCAAGTGCCCCGTGTTTCTGTGGGAACATGATCAAGCTACAAAGTTATTGCCAAAGAGTGGTTCACATGGATTCCCTCCTCTAGCCCCATGATCTTTGCCAAAGCCACAGGCACCTTATTGTGATGATCTGCCCGAAGTCGAGTTCGTAGTTGTTGACTTGTGCGATGAAGATGGCTGCGAGGGCCTCATACAGAGCGGTACCGTCCATGTTGATGGTGGCTCCCACGGGCAGGACAAACCTCGTGATGCGCCTGTCCACACCGTTGTTTTCCTCCAGGCACCTGAAGGTGATGGGCAGAGTCGCGGAGCTGGAAGGAAATAACAGAACAGCATGAATTAAGTGCCTGCAGACTTTGGAAGAGGGGCTAAGCCTCTGCCTAGTCTACCCACCTGTTCTTTTCACCCTGCCATGTGAACCAGAGGCCAGATGCTGCTAGGAGAAAGAAGAGGCTAAGCAAGGCTTCCTAAGGTATGGTGCATGCTGCAGTTGCACATTCAGGCAGAGTTTTCCTCTGGGGAATTCAGGGTACGTACGACAAAATCTCTTTCAGCTATTAATTAAACTCGAGCCTTTTCTCCCACCCTCAGTGCATAAGGCAAGAGTGACCCAGGTGTAAGAGTGTATCTTGAAAATAGGTGGCAGAGCCATCAGCATGGTCCGGTACRGAACATGCGGGTCATGCACTGATGGTTGGAGATGGTCAAGTGATTGATCAGGGCCTCTGGGCAAGGGAGGCTCCACTCCCAGTGGGCCTGATGGAACCAGAGCAAAGAGCTGGGACTGCCAAGGTCTTATCTGCTCAGTGCAGACATTGGGAGGCCTCGGTGCTGCACGGAGAGCAATGCAGGTTCTGAGGAGCAAGCACAGAGCACTCCCCAGCCCCGTTGCTTGTCGAGGCCACCATACCTTGAGGAGGTGCCCAGGGCCGTGATGAGGGCCTGCAGCAGCCCTGCGATGAACACCCAGGGGTTCCTGTGCGTGACAATGAAGTACAGCAGCGGCAGGATGCAGAGGGCATGGATGAGCAGGCCAACGATGACAGTGAGCGTGTACATGCCCAGCTGGCCCCCCATCACTGCTAAGTCGTCCATCTCCAGGATTTTGCCAGCAATCAAAAACATGATCCCAACTGGGGCATACCTGTGGTAGAAACACAAGGGCCGTGCTCAGAACCASCATCCCCACTCTCACATCTGCTTTATTCCATGCTTTTCTGGACAAATCCCCAATAAAACAGTTCCCCAGAAGTGCTGCCTGAGCCTAGTTATTGGATGATCTGCTGTTTTTTAATCTGGCAACCTGGAGGGAGCTGGGACGTGTCCATGGAGCGCTCAATCAAGAGCACGTCATGCTCAGTACTCTGCAGTGTGCACAGCCTGGACGCAGATGGAGGTTTCCTCCTCCTCCTGGCTTCCTGCACACATTTCCCCAACACTCCCAATAACACCACCAGGGAAGGTCACCTTCACAGTCCCTTCCTTGGGGAGCTTGGACTGAGTGTCCATACAGTTGTCTCTTTTTCTTGAGAACCATGGAGAAGTACAGAAGGAACGGGGAAGRGTGGAATAAAAGCGATAGTGTTTGGCAAGCTCTGAGATACTAGCCTTGTTCTCCTTAGGGCTCACAACGTGTGGGGAATCCATGGCTGGCAGAGCAAGGCATGGGTACAACCGACACCTGCCAAGAGCTCTGGCTCTTCTGCGACCCCTTTTGAAGTAGCTATCTATCATTTCCATTCCTTATAGCTTTTTATTTATTTATTTATTTATTTCCACAATGAAAAATGCTACTAGCATGAGCAGTAGTGAGGCTTCAAATAACACAGACATGGAGAACATCATGGGCACTAAACTGGGCATGGGCAAGTAACTGGACCAAAGAGAACCTTAGCTCCATGGCCAGATCCCTCAGGGCTTGGGAGCTCACATGCAATTCATGCACAAGGCTCAGAGGTTCACATGCCAAACACCAAGTCATCCTGGGAGCTTTGGAAAAGTTCAGGAATGGATTTCACAAATATTTCATTTCCTCCGACCTTCTTCTTAAAGGCCTCTATTGTCTGCAGACAGTGGCCAGATCTTTCCAGGAAAAAAAAAGAAGCCAGATTGCAGCCAACCCTGCTGGCTGTGGGGACAGGCTTCAGGAAGCACTGCAGCACTTCCAGGCTTCTGGAAGGTCTTTTGGTCCTCTGAGCWGCTGCAGGCCCCTGATTCCAGTCACTTGGCCCAGACTTGGGCCTTTTGATGGTCATTTGAAAGCAAAGTATTTCAAACCMCAGAGCCCTTCATTTCAGTGACAGGAGAAGGGAGTTGTAGAGTCCAGCCATGGGTGCACTAGAGTCGGGAAGAATATGAGCTCCGTGGCCAGCAGTACCTCCAGGAACAACATATTTAGGGAGGCAGCTACAAAGTGCAGCCCTTTCAGGCACGGCTGATGTCAGGGCCAGAGGGAATTGCCAACTGAGAGGAGGGAAATGATGGGGACTCCTTTCTGAACAAGCCAGTGCTGAGCCCATGAGCACTGGTGAGTTGTGCTGGGCCTGAGCGTTCCCTGAGAGCTTCCCACGTGCTCTATATACCAACACCCTCTTTCTTCACGGTAAAGGRAATTCAAAGGCAGCTGGAAACTGGTTCTGAGGATAGTGAACAGACCCATAGGAAGCAACAACCAGCTGAGCTGTAGAGCTGGGATCTTTGAGACCACAAGTTGAAGGGTCTTTGAGTTAATCTTGCCAATGCAGCTCAGCTCATAGAGCTGCTGCATAAAGGTGTTATCCCGAGGAGCAGATAAGTGGCATCAGTTACTCTGATGCAGGGCTAGGTGAGACAGCTGCTACACACCTGGAAGGAGGGCTACCTGTGGGAAAGCCTCACGCCCTACCGCTTGGTAAGGCTAAGAGAACTTCCACTCCAGTTTCCAGCTGCCTCAAGGAAAGTATGTCCTGGTATACCTGATATTTCTAAAGTAAAAACAGCACAGGAAATGAAATGTGAACAACTATCCCATGCAGACTTTTCCCTCCAGGCTGATGGAGCCAAAAGAGAGCTGTGCCCATCTGCTTTTCCCTTTGCATGTCATCCTTAAAGCTACCCCATTTCCCATCAGGTCAGTGGAAAACTGCACCTGCAGACCTCCTGCTTCAACCGGCCGTGCTCCTCACCAGATGATAATGGCCACCAGCCTCATGATGGCTTCGTTGAGGCAGTTAAAGAACTCCCGCAGGGCCCGTCCCTTCTGCTTCATGCTGCCGATCACCAAACCGAAGCACATGGAGAACACTACCAGCCCCAGTGCGTTCACCCCATTGGCTGAGCCCGGGATGGGAATGACTTCTTCAAAGGTCAGCACCTCGGAGAGGGTCCCCAGGGCATGAGTGACGTTCTCCAGGATACCGGTGGAGTTCTCAGGCACAGAGATCTGGGTGGTTGTGACAGCTGCTGTGACATTGCTGCTGTGGAGGACAGTTCTGGTGAAGACCCTGGTGGTGTATTGTGTCTTGTACTGAAATGACAGAGATTATGAGATGCATTCAGGTCTGGTTCAGGRGTTCTAGATAACATGCTAGGCTCTTGCATCCTGTCCTAAAGAAAGGAGAATACTCCAAAATTCTGTTGATCTCGTTGGAAAACTTGCCTTGTTATTTCTTCTCAAACTCCCTAATTTAGTGCATAGATCCAGAAGTTTATATATGTTAAGGCCAAAGGAGACCATTAGATCATCTAAAGATGAATTCCACATTCCACATTTTCTTTTCCATTGTTAAGAAATGCACCTACCTTTCAATTTGTTGAAAGATAGTTCTTATTTTACAGACATTGTTACTTCTACCCCCATGCCCACCCTTGGGMTTAAGATCTCTTTGACACCTTTATTTTCTTTGTTCTCTAGTTTTTGRCTGGGGGATGCTGTAATACTAACTGGTGACTACAGTGCCTCAGTGCCTCCTGGAGCAGTCAGAGTGGGAAAATGGGAAAGCAGCACAAAGCCAGCCCTGTTCTTATCCCTCAGAAAAGTGTTTGGGGTCATGGTCTCCTGTAGAGGGCCCAAAGGAGGTTGTAGGCCAGGCAGGATTTCATACCTGTTTGAAGCAGGCTTCTACGAGGTTGGGCGGGAACATATTCCTGCAGCAGATAAAACAAGGAATGAGTTATGGTCCTGTTTGTCTAGCAAGCAGATTTGGTGTTCCTGTGCCATGGAGCGGTGTCTCTAGTCACAACAGTCACAGTGCCAGGTCTGGCTACAGAGCAGATGTTGGWAGGGCTGTTTGAAGGTCCTCTGCTCAGTCTAGAGCATGTGCCTAGAGCAGTGTCTAGAGACACTGTTGGCCACTGTGGTCAGACTTTTTCTCTCTCACGCATTTTCTGACTGGCCTCCTGTCCTGCAGAAGCTCCCTCATAGTTAGTTTGCCACTAACTCTTCATCTTGAAGCCCTCAGAATATAGTTATGAGGAGAATGCCCTTACGAGAACTAGCAGACAATGCAAGTCTCAGCCAGAAGCATTTCTTCCCCTGTGTGTCTAGGACTGTGAAACTTCAAAAGGAGGTTCAGCAGAGGAAAGTAATCTCATTGTCCAGCATGTTCTCACACAACACAAGCCTGTTCACCTACCTCACCAGGTCCATGAAGGCATCAGTGGTCTGCACCTGCTCGATTCTTCCTTCCCGGTGGAGTTTATCTTTAGATCCTTTCCCTGGGTGGATGATGATGACCATGAGGATGCCAATGAAGACTGCTATGATGGTGGTCACCATGTAGTAGACCACAGCCCTCATCCCCATCTTCCCCGAGGCTCTGCCATCAAGTGAGGCCATGCCTGGGGAGTCAGACAGGAAAACAAGGTGAGAGGGTCTATTAATTAACCTCGGGTAGTGCTGAACTCTCTTCCCTAAATTGGAAGAAGTCTAAATCAAACTTGGACAACAGACTTTTCAATGATTAAATTTCCACAGGATTTTACACAAGATGAAATCCTTATCAGTGCTCAGGTATTGGACACTGGAACCACCGCGTTGCCTCCCATTCTTCTGGAAAAGCATGAGATCTTCTGCTTCTCCTCGCCAATGCTGAGCCAGCAGGGCTAAGAGTTGGGATCATGTTTATCACAGTGATGGGCTCAGACTGTTCACTATTAGTCAGGCTTATCTCAGCGTTGTTCGCAGCCAGGGCCTCGAGAGAGACCCAGCAACATTCAGCAGCAGCCTTTGGGGAGTATGGCCAGGACTGCGGGCACCAGAAAGCTCTTCTCACCTGTAATCAAGCTAGAGACGATGAGAGGAAGAACCAGCATCTGGAGCATACGCATCAGCAGCTCGCCAGGGAAGGAGAAATACTTGATCTGGCGATAGGTCAGCTGGTAGGGCCGGAGGGAAAAAGCCAGKATGATCCCTGTGGAACAAGAGGTAAGAATGGAAATGGGAGAGTATGAGCTGTCCCTCAGTCCGTCCTACACCATGGCTATGCTTGCCCTCTTCTTTCAGTTCTTCCTGTGCCCGAACGGGGAAGGAGCAAATGCTCCTTTTTCTTTTGAAAGACTGTGATGYAGCTTTCGCTGTATGCAAGATAAGGGAGTCGTCATCATCCCCTTCTTGCTAGAGCTTAGCCACTATCTACAACAGAAAGGGTTTGCTGATTCTGCTCTACTAGTTCTCACGAATATCAGCCAAGCTTTCTGTGAATACAACCCCCAACCTAAGGATTCTTTACCGTCTCCTCCCCAGCCAATTCCTTACAATCAAATAAAAACTGTGGGGAACAGATGGACTTTTCCCCACAGTTACAGGCGGTGCCCAGTGTTGCCCCCRGCTTCGTACCCAGCAAGACGGCCGCGATGGTGAAGAGGACGAACGCGTTCCTCCTGAAGAAGCTTTTGGCRCTCTCCGCCGTGAGGCTGTGCATGCGCTTCCTGGCGCGGGCCGCCCGCTTCTGCACGGCCTGCTGGAATCGGTGCACGCGGCTCTGCGCGTGGAGCCGCTTCGACGCGTCCTCCTTGAGGAAGAGGCTGTTCACGTGGCTCTGCTCGCTCATGGTGGCCACAGGCGCTCAGAGCTCTGCRGCCGCTGCGCGGGGAGAAGCACAGGAGAGCGAGCAGAAAATGCAGCACCTGACGCTTGGCCTGCCTTTCTTTTTGTGTGTGTGTCATTTCCCTGGGGCCCAGAGCAGATTTAATTAGTGCTGGTTGAAAAGCTCCTCTGTAGCCCCACAAGGAACAGATCCAGGGTGTTCCAGGGGCTGCAGGTGCTTGGTCCCCACTGTGCTCCGGTGTCTCCAGAGAACCTGCGGCCTCTGCAGCAGCTGCGTGTGCAGAGCGGAGCACTTCATGGTGGCTCTGGGGGCACAAAAGGCCCCCAGGTGGACCCAGGCTTGTTTTTATGAGTTCAGCAGTTTGCCCAAAGATTAATATTTATTGCCTGCACATGAACTGTTCTAAACAAGACCAAGGAGGACACAAGATCTCCCATATATATCCTCAGTGGACAGGACCCCSCCAGAACAGCTTTCTACACAGCAGAGCAGCACCACCAGTTTGTGCAGAAAGGACCATAACTGCTGAAGGACTTGTAGAAGCAGAACCACCAAAGACTGCATTAAACCCCAAAAGACACTTTTGAACCCCCAAACCACCCGCTCCATCAGACAGCCCAGCACACCTTGGTAAGTGCTACCTACCTCACCTTCCTTACCTAGAAGTCCAAAACTCAGGTCTCTTTACTCAAGTTGAGTGATAAGAGGCACATTAACAGCTCTGAAATCACCCACATTGTCTTGCTCAGCTCCAGCCAGGTTAACCCTTCACCTGCCTTGGTGACTTGAGGAGACCAGCCTGGAGCAGGGGTACAGCAACGCGGGCTGTGCTGGAGAATATTTACCAACGAAACTCCCCTGTTTCCCCATGGGCAATCAACATTATATCCCCAAACACAGGAGAAGGGACACAGCAGGGGAAATAAATGACATGGCTAAGCCAAAAAATGAGACAGCGGTCTGCAGGGAACTTGAACCTGGGAGTCCTGATTGGGACCTCTGCCTCTACAACAAACACGCCGTTTTGGTGGGGGTTTTAATAGCACCAAGTGGTCTGAATGCTCTTCAGTCAACACAGGCTGCCTGCAGAGAGCTGCTCTCTAATCCTGACTCAATAAATGAGAGCTGCCCTGTCCAAACCTGGTCTTACTCAGAGCTCGAGCTCGCTGCAGCTGCGACACGGGTTCTTATCTGGGGAGTTCCCATACAGAACCCACCCTCTGTGTGAAGAGACTCACCTGCACTCTTCTCTGGATGTCTCCCCATCCACACACGCTGCAAAATGTGTTTCTGTGCAAAGCGTATGGAGTTTCGGGGTTGATGTGGGACAAATCAGGACTGGTCACTAGCTCCCATGTTCCACCATATCCTCAGCAGCCTCCTCCGAGCAAAACTTGTCACATAAGAGGAACTCACCAACAAAACTTGTGATGTCCCCACCCACTTGCTCCCTTTCTCCAGCTGCGTATTTTGCAATACAACAACTCCCTCCCCAGTACATTCCCTCCGCACTGCTGCCCTGAAGTTGTGCAAATGCCTCCTATTGCATCAACTGGAAGATCTGAGACTGCTACAGTAAGTCATCAGAATATCATTTCTTGCAGATTAACGGTCTTTAATGTCATGGGTTTCCCTTTCTCTAAGGGAAAATATGGCCTTGCTTYAGTAACCAGGTGAAGGTTCTCCTGCATATGCCTGTGCTGCTCTAATCTCCAAGCACTAAGATRTATGAGAGAGCATTTTCAGGGGTAATTTCAAGGCTAGACCAGGAAGCACAGAATATTTTGAAAGAAACTCAGCGTTGCAAAACTAATACCCAGTTCCTGGCAATGAGGCTTCAGATAAACAGTGGAATTTTGCCTGTTTCAGGGAGAATAGTCAGAAGACGGTGAAAGTGAAAAAAAATGGGGAAGGAAGACTTTGTGCTATGTTCTTTGCCCTCCTCTTTACACGTTTGTGCAAGTGAGCTGATGAGATGATCCATAATCTATGATCATCTCATCTACCAATGGAGAAGATTTCCAAGGGAGTAGGGAATACACAGGAATTATAAAGAATTATAAAATAGGAAGACTTTTTAAAAGCAAATCTCTGTGTCAACTGAGATGCATCCGTTCCAGCTTGTGTGCTGTGTTGATAAACACTCCTCCATGCGCCTAGCCTCTGCTAAAGCAGTCACCGCTGGAAAAGCTGAAGCCATCCAGGGTACAGCACCTTCCCATGGGCAGATTTTAAAAGTAGCAGGTAATAAAATCCCATCTGAAAGGAAAGAAGAACTAGCTTGCAGTAATCTGTGCAGATGGTTTTACTGAAGGGCTACCTGCAGGACAGATTTGCATCTCCTTGTCACACGTGTGCCCTCCTCACCCTGCTACTACCTGGTGGCACCTGGGCACAGTTTCAGTCCCTAAGCCAGCAGGAAGAGAACAGTTCTAAACTTAGAAATGGAAATTAAAAGAGGCTGATGGAGCGGGGTCTGTTTAGAGAAGAGGCTCGGGGSTCTATAAATATCTGCTCTAAGGATGTAAAGAAGATGGAGCCAGATTTTTCTCAGTGGTGCCCAGTGACAGRACAAGAGGCAACRGGCACAAACTGAAAAACCAGAAAATTCTACTTAASCATGAGGAAACCCTCACTGTGAGGGTGCTCCAGCACTGGAATAGGTTGTCCAGAGAGGTTGTGAGGTCTTCATCCTTGGAAGATACTCCAGAGCCGACTAGAGGGGGCCCTGAGGAACCTCCTGGAGGTTTCACAGAATGGTTTGAGTGGGGGGATTGGACTAGTTGCTCTCCAGAAACCCCTTCCAACAGCCACCCTGTGGTCCCTCCAGTCAGATGAGGCTGCATAACCTCCCCTCAGACCACACTGACATCGCCTGTCCCTGGTAGCATCCTGCAGCTGATGGACCCGATATAACCAGCACAGGACCGTGGTCTGGTTCCTTCTCTCATCAGCTATCCATGCACAGCACTTCAGCAGCAAACTGAAAGATGAACAAGAAAAAGCTACTTCATGGAAATGGCCAAGTGTCAATTGTTGCAGCAGACAGAGCTGCACCAGGAGCCCGGGGTATGGCGTTACAAAGKCTCTGGCCATGGAGTCGGTGGGATCAAAGGAAGTAAATGCAGAGTCCGAGTGAAGCCTTTTTGTGCCTCACACGGTGCCCTTAGTGCTCTCCCGAGAGACAGCAGCGGCGCTCGGGCCACCGCCATTCCCTCTGCCTACATGTAACGCAGGGACTCGGCTTTCCCATGTGTCCTTCCTGTTAATGTGCCCATGAGGTGTCAGTCACATATCACATAAGTGACCTCAAAGCATAAAACCTGCACRACCAGCACAGCAGAGGAGGGTTGCAGCCTCTCACGGTAAATTCAAGCTCTGGGCTGGAACAGCTCAACTTGTCACTCCTCAGAACAAATAAATGGAAGGCAACGATTCAGATGCTGGTGACTAGAGGCTCTGTGTCCCACCACTGCTAGTGTCTGCGCAGAACAGCACGCAAGGGGTTATTCTAATTAGTCAGCTTTACCCTTGGGGMTGCCAAATTAGAAATGCCCACCACAAAGTCTCATTCAGGATAACCTCCCTCCCGGGACAGCAGGGAGAGTGGCAAGAGAATCCCAAGGCAGCCACTGCTTAGTAGGGCAGGTAGCGTCACCGCTGCCCCGGGCGTGCAGCCTGGCTCCCCGCGTGTGCCTTGCTCCCAACGACACAACTGGAAAGTCATGTCAAGCACGGCCAATTCCCCCTCGACCACAGGCTGCCTGCTCCTTCTRCTAAAACAGCTTTTTTCTTTTCTTTTTTCTTCTTTTTGCTGCTGAAAGCTAGGGAGAGACTGCAAAATAATGAACACTTTYGAGCCCACCGTTTCTCTTGTCTCCAAGGAAACTCTGCTGATCTGTTCAACACCAAAAGAAGCAGGATTTTCAAAGAGAAGCATCCACACATAGCAGCAGGGAAGCATCCTAAGGGTAAGAAGATGGAGGAATACATGCAGAAGGAGAGAATCTGAGGAGGAACTTGGCACAAATTCAGTACATTTTTTAGAGGCAAGGCAAGGGGCCACTGAGAAAACCTGTCCATGGTGAACTCCGTATATTGAGGATACTCAACAGAGTCTCCTCGCGTAGCGAGATGGAGGGAACGATGCCTCCATCCATGCAGGCACAGCCGTGCTTTGCCCTCAGAGCACTGCTCGGGGGCCTGGCAACTGCAGGTAGAGCAGTCAAGTCCTGCCTACATCTGGGCAGTTCAGGCACCCCATGGAATGGATGTGCCAGGGTCAAGCTGTTGGTCCATGTCTGCGAGAAGGAACTGGAGGACGGGCAGCAGCTTTCAGCCCACCTAGACCCCTCCATGACAAAGGCACCATTGCCAGATCAACTGCATCACAGCTGGGAGGACAAGTCCCTTTCTCGCCCCTACCTGTAGTCATGTCCAACAACAAGGTTGTCCCTCTCTAGCTGTCAAACTCAGAACATACAGCCACACTTTTCAAGCAATCCCTTCTAGGCCRTTCCCAATCCTAAAAAAAGCCATCCCTGTTACCTTCTCATGCGTTCATCCAAGGAAACCTTCTCCTGCTCTCCTCCAGTCTTGCTTCACGCACTAGACCTCTCACTGCTCTTATTCATGCATGCAGATTTGCCGACAAAACCACTCACCTGGAGGAAGTGTTGGTTGTCAAGCAGGAAGGACAGCAGGTCTTTTGGGTCTGAGAACTCTCCTAATTTTCTCCTAATTGGGRCTTGTTCAGAGCTGCTTGGTTCTCTAATTCTTGCAGATCAAAGGCAGGATGCAGGATTTTCTCCTCGGAAAGGTGCGGTGTTCGCAGAGAGCTCTGAGCAGTACCTCCTGAGAGAAGAAGGGAAGACTGTAATATGCTYGGGATACATGGCAGCAGGGGACGGGGGAGTGGCACGGAGGAGGAGACTGGAAGATCCTAGGTGATTGCAGGAGAGCAGAGGACACAAGGCATCTGTCACTGTGAAGCTGCATGTAGTTCATGCTGGATTTAACACTAACACTGCTTTTGCACTTTCTTATTGCTCCTCACACGAGCTGCAAAGACACTTAGTAGCAGCAGAGAGCRGGACAGGCCATGAAATGGAAGAAATGACCCTAGTCTTCCTATGGAGGATGGCACAGGTAGCGTGARCTCTCAAGTCCTGCTAGTGTCAAAGAGGGACTGAAAGCCCTGCAAGTTTCAGAGACTTCTGCAGCAAAACACAAACTGCAATGGACGACTCAGAGATAGGTTTTTCATTTTCCAGAATGAATGTCTCTGATTATGGGCCATAGAGCCCTAAGTCCTGCCCTTGCCCCACACCCAAAGCATCTCTAGGGCTGGTCTGTGCATGAAGGGGTGCGCGGTTTAGCCCGCAGATTTTCCTACCAAACGTGGCTGTTTGCTGGCAGCAGCCAGGGGAGAGCGCAGTGCCCGGCGGGACGTTCCCGAGGCCGGCGGGGCGCGTGGCCGCCCCACAGCAGCCCGCCAGTGCCCGTGGGCTGCACGGAGCCTTGGCCGGGCCGGCGGCTGAGCCCGCGCGCAGAGCGCAGCCTTCGCACAGGCACCCGCAGCACCCGCAGCGTGAGGGCTGCCTTGCGGGAGCTCTGCGGGCTCTCAAGGCCCGAGCGAGGGGACGGCTGTCACTGCGAGGGTGAGTTTGAACAGTCTGGACCAGTTGTGGCTTCAGTGCAGGCTCTGCCTAGCAGACAAACCAAAGTTCATGTGGGTCCCCAAATTGCGCTTGACCTCTGTGGTCTTTTGCATCTTTAATTATCAAAATGTGAACAGGTTCAAGGGAGATGAGGAAGTGGGTGGCCTGGACCTTGGATGCAGAGCAGCAGCCTAAGGCTACTGAGGAGGTAAAGAGCTCAACTCCCTCTGACCAGGGTTAACTGACACCCTGACAGACCTTTTCCTGGTTGGAAAAATTCCTTGAAGAGGAAACAGCACAATGAGCTCAAATCCCGGAGTCTGCCCTTATTCAAGCGCCAGGCACACCTTGTTGTGCACAATTGTGTGCACATGATCTTCACTGCCTTCCAAAAGCACTCACCGTGTTGGCCTTCTGAAAGAGCCCAGCTGCTCTGAAATGCTGGAAGGACGAATCCTSCTCCTCTCCTTAAGTGAGAGTGCAGCAAGGCCAAGAGGAGGTGCCAGCAGGTACCATGTGTGGGCACCTGAACTGCACCTGAACGTGCTGACAGCGGGGAGATGCGTGTGACCTGTCAATAGCTGAAGCTGTGATGGGAACCTGGATAGTTTGTCCTCGGAGGGTAGGAAGCCATGGAGATATTCCTGCCTGCTTATTGCCATGGGGAAGGACRTGGTTTCCCCACACTGAAGCAATCCTTCAGCTCTCCCTTCCTTGGATCTTGCAGCTCTGCGGTCTGGTTCTCCTAGGTACAGTAACCTTAATTTGGAGGCTGGGATTAGGTTTTTTCAAGCTGCGCTGCTCACTTGGCCCAGAGAGCAGAGTCCAATTACGCAGTTTCGTCCTTCATTCCAAGTTAGAGTTCCTGCAAATGAATCTGCTTTGCGTTTCACAGAGCTTCCCTTCCTATGGGAAATGCCAGTATTTCAACATTTATTTGGTAATATCTTGGAACAAAAAGGAAAATTTTCAGCTCTTGCAACACATGCAATTATCCATTATCCAAGATGCAGCTAGGTTGCAGTGTAGGAGTTGGGCTCGAAGAAAACACTTGGAAGGTGGACGTGGAAGGTCAAAAAGCCTGTCTGATATTTTGAGTAAGTTGGTTTGAAACTACTATAGGTTGTCTGCTGAGAAAAGAGGGTGGAAATACTTTACTTCTGCTGCCTTGATGATATATTTGTCCAAATTTAACTTGGCCCATTTTCTCTGGCGTTCTCCACATGGTTTCCTATCGGCATCGTGTTGTTCTCCATCGTCTCCCAACAGCGTAAGTGTGTATATGTATTACAAGGGCAAAAGGGACCACTTGTGATCATGTAGTTTGACCTCCTTTTCCAGGACAGGAATAGCCCTGTGTTAATTAATTTTCTTTTAAGTAGAATATACTATTTAGAAAAAAAAAAAAAAAAAAAAAAAAAAAGTCACTAGTTGATCTCGTATGTATGCAAAAAAAAAAAAAAAAAAAAAAAAAAAAAAAGAAGGTGCATTCCTCTTTTCTGGTAGTGATGGATTCACCACAATTCCGGGTAACTTATATAAGCTTGGGTCTACCTGACCTTAGGAATTCTGTGTGATAGGAAGATGATGCTGCTGTGGATGGGCTGAACTGGACTTAATAATGTTAATACTGACACGATGTTAATACTGACATAGAGTCCCAGAAGGTGGTAGGGAGCTCAGCCTCACCAGTATGCACTGACCACACTCACACAAACAGCAACCMAGACAAAGCTCTTTTGGGATTGATTTTGCAATTTGCTTTTCATTAGGAGCCTGCAATTACCTGCCAGCTTTCTTGAAGAAGCATTCAAAACTAGAGCATTTCAGAGAAGAAAAAGGCCTAGAGCAACAGGGAGTGTGCTCTGTCCTTCCCTGCTCCATTRCTGTCCTTCACTGAATAGGAGATTCCCCTAAAACCAACTGCTTTGAGGGACTAGATTTTATCTTTCCTTCTCACCAGTTCCCTCTAGGAAAAGGATGCTCTGGATGCTCTGCCTGTCTCCAAAGACTTTTTTTTTTTCTCTCTCTCTTTTTTTTTTTCAATGACACTCCTCCTAATTTTGGCAAAATTGTTTGACTTGAGTTAGAGCCATAACGGTCCCGAGTGGAGAGCTCCAAGTTCCTCCAGATTCCCAGACCCTGTGTCAGCAGGAATATCTGGATCTGCCTTGATGCTGAAACTGACCCCAAAAGCTGGATCGGAAGCTTCTYGGAAGGCCTGCGGGTGGAATTAAGGGCATCTCCTGTCTGGCTCTCCCAGGAAACATTGTGGTTACAGAGACCTTGCTGGATTGTGATTCACAAAGTCACCCTATGTGTGGAAGGTGCCATGAGCTTTGCTTTCCTTGTAGCCTCTCCCAGCATATGGCAAAACATTGCAAGAACAATCCCAGCATATGAGAGCCCTTGCTCCTCAAACTAAATGCTCTTGGTGACTTCTCAGATGGGGAGTTTTTCTTCCAATCCCGCTATCTCTATCATGGACCATAAATCAGATGGGTGAAGTGGTGGCTGCAGATGTCGGACTGAACTTAGGAGGCCAAACAGGGCCCAAATCATCACACAGAAAAGCTGRGAGTAGAACTGGCCGCCCGCTGTCAACAGAGGCAACTCAAACTGCTCATTAGCGAAGCTCATTAAAGAAACTGAGCCAAAGGGAAAGCACGTTCCCGGCTTATCAGGCCACCTCCTCTGTGAGCTCTCTGATCTACTTTTGCAGTGATTGCTCCTGACCCAGGCTAAGCCCCTGAGAAATCTCACAGCTCGTAGCCTGCGGCAAACGGGCAGCGGCGGCCGCGCCAGAGCCGGGCGCGCGGCACTCGCGCCCTCGCTCCCCGCCTGGAAAATTCCACTCGTCTTCGCAGCGCCCTGAAGCTCTTGGCCAGCAGCCCTTGCCAAGGGGCTGTTTGTCTGCCTGCTGGATGGCTGCTCCGCTTTGCACCTGTGAATTGTGGCCCTTTTGCCAGGAAACTCGCACCATGTGCTCAGCCCTCTCTGAGCAGAGCGATAAGAGGTCGCTATGAAACTCTATCCTGCCTCCTCTACCCTTTTTATTATTTTCCCTTTTTGTTGCTGCTGTCAATACAGATGGACATGAAGAGTGAGGCTCCCGCTGGCAGGACAGGGACAGCAGCAGAACTTAGTTTTCCCTCCAGAACCTCCAGCTCCAGCCAAGTTGAGTACAAGGAAGTTTCTCTGATGCTTTCACTCCTTCTACCCCTCTCTGAATTAACCTGACGCCTGATAATATGTGCAAAATTTCTCAAATAGCTTCAAGCTTGAAGCCTATCAAACAACGGATAATAAAGCCATACTAATGAATTGTTCAGACATGCTTTTCACCTCTATGTCTGCCTGAGAATCTGACAGATTTCAAATGTTCTCGGTTTGTTTTATTTGTGCGTGTTTTTATCCCCCTCACTCTATTTAATACTCCCCTTCTTCCCTCCCCTTTCCTCTCCCCGCTCTTACCGTGCGGGTTTGCGGCGCTCGGTGTCGGCAGCTCTAATGTCCTGTTACGTGTTAGGAAAAGCGTGCGGAAAAGTATCGGGGCAGAAAGCCTTGCGTTACAATGTCATTCAGGTCATCAGCACACACTGGGTACTAACCAATGGGAATAAATCTCCTGGGAATTAGTTGGAAATCCTGGAAACTATGTTCCACACTCCGAAAGCTCTACTGCTAGCTTCCTTTTGATATCTGCAAAGAAATAATGTGGCAGGCTGCTCAGAAACTGAGAGATTTAAACAGCAAGACAAGAAATAAAAGTCATTTGGGCTTTTTTTTTTTTTTTCTGGCGTATTTCTAAAATACACACAATGTCTCACCTGCTAGTGTTCACACCACGTTTCTGCTCCGAGGAGGAGCTCTATAAGGGTCGCCACGATGACCGAGGGACGGAGCGGGCGCCTTGCAGCAGTAACGTGCTCGTGGTGCTGACCACACCGTGCAGGCAGGGAGGCTGCGCCAGGATTTTACTCAGCTATTCTGTAAAAAAAAGACCATTTGCTAAAGCTTTACTTGCAAGATATCCCTCTCCCTAGACAAAGGTTTCATYGACATATTGAAAGCCTTGCCTCAAAAATGAATCGATGAGGGAGACTTGCTAGTGCTTTCCAGGTCAGCTAATTTAAAATGAGGTATTAGAAGAGGGGCGGACATTTAAACAAGCAA